GTATTGATTTAGAGAATAATGCAGAATATTCTTATGTCAACCAATTCAAGCCATCATCCAATGTGACCAGAAGTTCCACTCAATTCGATGATAATTCCTGCACCGGAAGCCAAACACCAGTATTGTCACCATTAATGTGATCAGATTCCAGGCGGGTGTGCACCGGGTGTCGGCCCCACTCACGCCATACCGGTCGTAGTTCTCGTACCCGGGATATACACGCGGGGGCTGTCGGTCGTAGTAGTGGCACCGGGCGTCGTATTCAACCGTTTTGGGAATGTATGTAATGTTGGTCTCCGGGTCCGTCTCTATTTTCGGCGGCGGATCGCAGCGCACATACTTGTAGTGGTCGTCGTAGTAGCCATAGTTACCGCCCCGACCCAAGTGGCCGACCATTTTTCCTAATTTATATCCACCGTAAGCTCCCAGTGCGGCACCCGCTAGACCTCCAGCAGCTATATTTGTCACAAAAATATATTTAATTATTTAAATATTTTTTATTTTTTATCAATACTAATATTACCTCCAGCACCAAGACCTCCAAGTCCTCCCATTCCCTTTGATTTACCCATCATTCCGGTGCCCATTCCAGCTCCCATAGCTCCCATTCCGGCACCCATTCCCATGCCTCCCATACCGCCAACACCACCGCTATGTCCATAGTTTGGCTGATTATCTGTTAAATAAATAAAATATTGCTCTAAAAATATCTTTTAATATTATCTAGAAATGTATATTAAAAATAATATAACTTAAATGATAAATTAATGATTGTTTGGGATATTACAGTGTATTATATATTATTAATCGCAATCAATCTCTTTATAATCGTATCATTGTTTATATAATTTAATGGTTTATAAACTTTTGTGTATTCCTTGATATAGTGGAATATATTAATAGAATATTTTTAGATAAAACACAACATTTTGAAATAAATTATATTTTCAAGTGTATATCGATTTTTTTAAGTATTACTTTCACGTTCAAATAAAAATATTAATGATTCATTGAGAAACAATACAATTATGACTTTTTTTATCTCATATAAGTTGCTATCGATTTGTTCGTATCATTTAGAGTAATATATTAATGTTTGCGTATATTTACATAATAATTATTATTAAGTTTTAAAAGCATTGATTAAAACTTTAACGACAATTTTGTACTTAACTAAATAAATAATGAAATAAATTATAATGTAATATAGTGTTAAAGCATTGTGTCATTGAATTGGGAACTTTAATTTTAAAATACACATGTACTGTATATTCTTTTGATAATTGCTATGTTGTTTATAAAATTTAGAAATTATAATTTGTTTATAAAAAAATTTCTAACAAGTAAGCGTATTTTAAAATACGTAGGAAGTTAGTTTATAATTTCGCAAACGTGTTATTTTATATCATTTAAACCAATACAACTAATAATATTAATAGAAATAATTGAGATAAAACAACCATGTAATCATAGATAGTTTTGCTTATAATTTCAATAAAATATTACATAAATGATTACACATAATATAAACAACAATACTGAAAATCGAAAAATATATCAATTATAAATCACTTATTGCCCAATAATAACATAATATTAATAAAAAATATATGCATCTAATTTTAATGATAATATAAAAGATTACATAATGTTTACTCACAGCCAGTTTGACCAGGGTATCCTTGT